CGCCCGCCGCTCTCGCGAGAGGGGCCGAAGGGCTGTCCTTGCCTCGCTGCCGCCCCTCAGTGGATTGAGCGCGTTCTGCGAACCCGCGGGCCGAACGTCCGCCTGCCCTGCGAGTACGGCGACGCGCATGGACCAAAACTAGCAGGGGGCGCCATCCTTTACAACTTTGTCTTTCTGGAGGGCAGCATTCCAGGTCTGCAGCTGCTACTATCCGACCTTTCCCGCTGGTTTGGGGGTTTCAGCCAGGTCGGTGCACGCACGAAGCTGGGCTGCAGTTGTTATTCTTGGCCACAAGTCTTGAGTCTTTTTTTTTTTTTTGGTTAATAGGTCTCATGCAGCCGGTTCCTTGGTGCAGGGGTTTGAAACTTAGCAGGTGGTTGCTGTAGTTTGGGGGACGTGCCTGTGAAAATCGGCCCAAATCTGCTCACATTATGAGCCTCTAGTTATGGTAGGGAAGGCAGGCTGAAAAAGAGGCCGTGGGACACCGCACCCCCTTCACAGTTCTGGCTGTTGTGTTGTGTCACAGTGTTTGGGTGTAATGTCATGCTGTGAAGTCACAATGCTAGCATGAACCCACATGAATGGGGTTTCCAGGCAGCACCTGGAGACTTGTGGCTCCCCCTGGGACTATCCTCTGCACAGCCAGGCTGTGTTTTCTGTGTCAAAGTGCCTGTGCTGCTTCACTGGTATGGTGTCTCCATGTGATGTAACCATGAAGGCCTCAGAACTCCTTGTGTCTATCTGCGAGTTAATGAGCTGGGATAGATCCATGGAAATGGAGTTAAATCTGTGTATCTGAAGCAGAGGTCAGACTGGAAAAATCAAGGCTGGTAACACTCTTCTATGATCTGCCCACCACTTACTCTTCACCCACTCATAGACTCATAGACTTTAAGGTCAGAAGGGACCATTATGATCATCTAGTCTGACCCCCTGCACCGTGCAGGCCACAGAATCTCGCCCACCCCTCTTAGAATAATCCTCTCACCTATGTCTCAGATATTGAAGCCTTCCAATACTTTGAAGGCCCCAACATGCAGAGAGTCCTTCAGCTGTGATCTGTGCCCAATGCTACAGAGGAAGGCGAAAAACCTCCAGGGCCTCTGCCAATCTACCCTGGAGGAAAATTCCTTCCTGACCCCAAATATGGCGATCAGCCTGTAACATCAAAACGAGACAAAGCTCAGAAGAGATTGTACTTTTTTTAAATAATATTTTCTCTCTCGCTGCACTAATCCACAGTGATATCACTAACTATATTAATAATTATCATTATTAGGTTTCAGATTAACCTTCCCGAGATGAATTAGGCCAGTTCCAAACTCTCCTGTAGTTACTGTTTCAGGATGTCTGCAAACTCAGGCAGGCCGGGCACTAATGGTTACATTCTAAGCACGTGTGCAGTTCTCTTTGGAATTGTGAGGACTAGACAGCGGAGTCCCTAAAGGGCTGCTCTGGTGGACTCATTGCAAGGTCACGTCTGAATAATACTGATTTGATGAGATTGCAACTGTTTCCTTATTGCTGACCCTCTGAAGAGCCATTTTTGTAATAAGGTGTCAGGCATGCCCCATGCACCTGTGCAGCACCACGTTGTGGGAGGCTGACATTGGGGCATTAGCAGATACTGGTGTTACACACCCTAATGCCCCTGATGTGCAATGGCAGAGGCTAGGCCTAGGTGTGCGCTGGGGGCAGGATGCACCCCCTGGCTTGGAAAGCGCAGCTCGTGGCTACTGGCTCATCCGCCTGTCCCTTCTGAAGTGCAGGGCCCCCCTTCCGCACGGC